GGCACCAGGACGAGCGCCACCGCCAAGCACAACAAGATTGTCGAGCGCGTCAAGGCGGACGTCCGAAACACCGGCAAGATGATCAAGGAAAAGAGCGAGAGATTCGCTCGCGACCACGAGCAGGAAATCGAGACCACCAAGAAACGCCTGTCGGCGACCAAGATCAAGATCGAGGAGACCAAGCTCKGGGCCAAGGTCAAGAAGGGGGTGGACAAGTTTGCCCTGGACCACAAGGAACAGATCGAATCCTGCAAGCAAAAGCTCTCCGAGGCAAGGTCCAAGGTCAAGTCCACCATCAAAAAGGCCCTTGAACCGGCGGTTCCCGAGGACGAAAACAATGACGGTAGCGACCGAAAGAATGCGTCGGACGAAACCCACGAGGACGACGATGGCAAGGCCAGCACCGAGACCGCAAGCACCGAGACGGACAAAAGCGAGACTCTCCAAGAGCCAGATGTTGCCATGCACAAAACCGACAACGACGAAACCCGCGAAGACGAGACCAAGGACACCGAGGACACCGATCGAGATAATGGCGACATTGTGGCCGCCAATGATGACATCGTCGACAAGGAGGAGACGACTCCCGACACCAAGGCAGTAACCGAGAAAAAGAAGCCCGGTGTACACAAACAAAAGTCGTGGACGCCGTGAACCACGACAACGAACGGTACGAAAAACACCATAGGTTGTACCATGGCGACGACGACTGCGATGAAACGAAACAAAGAACTGCAAACGTAGTTGCGGGATTTTTTTTTAAATATATATAAACAACATGATAATCAGTATAAATGTACTTAAGACTAATTTTTATCATCACAAGGCGACAAAGGACGTACTATTCTGATATTATGGCAGTGCAATGATAATCGAAGAAAGATACTCGTGCTCGTGTTTTCGGGAATGGAGAACAATCGATGCGACTGCTTTACTGCTTGCAGCAATTTGTCAGGGGTTTCGATAACGAGTGCAACCGTGACCAATGCGCGAATTGCGATAGACAAAAACGAGCAACGAAGAGTCTATGCACTTTCTCCTGACATGCCTCCAAAATGCAACAGTGATGGTAATGATAGTTAAATGCGAGGTCAACAATTTCAACGACCAATTCTCCCGCTAGCGTTAATTGCTACCACAAGGAAAAGATAATACCATATTTTTGTACAAGCGTGATTATTTCGTCGGTGACTTCAAATAAGTATTCAATAGTTTGCTACAGATGAATATGACAACCCTGTATTTTCTGATTGTAGCGCAGCATACCAAACCAGGCATGTCTTCAACCATCCTGGGGCGGCGCTACTCGTTCTGAACAAGGTTTTTGAGAGCCGAATCCGGGCTCCGATCCCGAGCTTCAAATCGCCACGCCACGCCTGGCGTTGCGTTGCGTTCCGTCCATCGTCACCGTTCCATGGCGGCCGCGTTGGGCCGGCCGGTCCGTTCCTCGAAGGTCCCGGTCCCGGCTTCGGTGAGGGCTTCCCTGGCCTCGTCCTCGGTCAGCCGGTGCTTGGTCCAGTAGGCACCGGCTCCGCTRTCGCCGCTGCCAATGTGCAGGACGGGAATGTCGTACTTGTATCGGTCGAACGAGTCGGCCTGGTCGTCGTCGGTGATGTCGACCTGCTTGAGGGAGTGGGCAAAGCCTTCCTCGTCGTTGACCTTKGCGAGGACGTCCTTGACCTTGTCGCAGAGGGTGCACCCCTCCTTGGTGTAGAGCGTCACGACCACGCCGCCGCCTTCGTAGACGGTGCCCGTGACGCTGGCCAGGAGGCGGCGGTTCYGGTGCCGGTGGYAGTTGCCCCTCATTCCAGCGGCAAACCCGGGGGTGCGAAGGGCACCGGGAGAAAAGGCCAAGCAGGGGCGAAAGGCTCCCCGGAATAGTGCCTGCGGGACCATCGCGGCAATGGCAAAGGCGGCAACAAACAGAGCGGCAGAAATCCGGCAGTGCACCCGTCCTCGTTTCGGCACGGTTCTCGTTTTTCTAGCGGCCGTTCTCGTCGCTYCTTCTGCTGCCGTTGCTGCTGCGGAATGGGTTGGCATCTCTCTTCCAAAGGTCAAAGAAACACGGGAAGCCTCCTTTCTGTTCGTGTGCTTTCGTGTTGCACTTTTGGGAAAGCCATGTGGAGAACAAAGACACGAGTATCGTACGTACCGGTAGAGAACCTGTATTGCACGAATATGATTATTTTTGAGGCGACTCTTTGRAAAAGCACGTTAGGGTTAGGGATTTACAGTATTGCAAATCCATCCATCGAATTTTGTCTGTCCATCCATCCGTCCACCCTCGTACGCGCTGCGCACCATGTTTCATTTTGCAACAAAAACGACAAGAACAAAAGACTTTTTCCTTCTTCGACATTCCCACCACGCGATTTTGAGAGGATCGAGATTGGAGACGAACAGATTGTAACGAAGCAACGCACAACTAGAACGTTCCAACTCGAGACGGCAACGAGAACCACATCGACACCGAATACCACCGAATCGAACTGAACCGAAATACTTCGATAGATAACAAACCAAAACACGACAGCAACGGCGACAAGACAAGAAGCAAGAAGCACGACACAACACCCATACACGCAAARACACRTATACAAACTCGCACACCACAATGGCCAGCAAGGAATTCGAGGGGGACGCCGGTGCCCCGCTYCCMGATTTCTCGGGGGCCCGGAACATCTCMYTGACGACRGTCGCCCCGGCCCTCGGYGTGAAAGGCCAGGCYCAGCCYGACTACCTCGACTTTGACCAGAAGGGCCGCGGCGTCGTCGTGACCATGTTTGCCAACGCCGGCCTTTCCTACCTGATGGGGATCGGCGCCGGTGGACTCTACGGCCTGCAGAGGGGGATCGCTTCGACGCCCTCGTCCAAGTTYAAGGTCCAGGTCAACTCCGTTCTGAACAAYGCCGGCCGCTACGGGAGCCGGGCGGGGAACWCCCTGGGGGTCTTAGCCGTGATGTATTCCCTCWTCGAAGGACTGGGAGACAMCGTGAGTTTTCGGTTGCGGATGCGGCGAATCCCGCCGTGCCACCCCTATTATATCGATTTCTTTGCTGCTGCTTCCATCGCACTGTGCTTCTTGTTGCGTTTCGATCCGGGAAAGATGTGTCGTTTTTTCGTTTACTCACTATTGCTCGACTTTCACAATATTCTCCAATTATTTTGCAYATCGGACGCAAACAAATACATAAAAATACGCAACAAATCGATGGCATTTCCGAAAAAACACGCTAACCGAAAACCAACAAAACCAAAACGAAATAACCCGCTGTATTGYATTGCTTTGCACTGGATTCACGCAGCTGGAACTCGATCGGTATACCGGAATCGAATCCRCTGCTCCGCCGCTCGCCGCAATGTTGACGGGGCTTACGTATTTTGCACCCTCGGGAGTGAGGGTGGCAGCGCTGGGCGGTGCCATCGGCTTTGGAGCCGTCGGTGCTACCTACGCCGGTTACGCGGCCACGGGCAAGGCCTTTGGAAGCGCCACGTTCCTGTGGTTTTGAGAGAGACGAAGGCCTTAGATCCTTGCCTCGATCGAAGCGAACCGATACGAAGTGGCGCACGAAAATTGACAAAAGGCATGGTGTGTCACGACCACCAGTACCCCGCACCATAATGAGGCTTCTTTTCTGAAACCCTTGTATAAATATGCCATGCCACCGAGAACATCATCATTTTWAAAATGAAATACTATAAAGAAATGTACTACAAGTCTGCTATCGAAGGACTCTACTAGATTATTGCAAAAAAATGTAGCCTAAATTTATCAAGCGTGATTAAATTCCGCATGACTACGTATGATCAGTTTTAATAGTCAATCACATTAGACGGAGAGAGAGCGAGTGGCCGTTGACGACTGTCAATCATTTCGCCAACTATTCTTGAATCACCCACAGGAAAACCAAYAGATGTCCAATCGATGTWATTCAAGCATAAGGCAGCTTCTACTTCTATTGCGTAGCGGGGGTTGTTTCTTCTCCTTGCTCKGTTTCTTCCTCCTCGAAGATGGCGCGGTTCTGGTCCCAGTTCTTGGCGTCGTGGAACCAGTCCTGCCAGGTGTTGACGTAGCAAATGCACCGCTCCACGGTCCTCGACGCGTTGGCCAGACCGAAATGGAGGATCCGGCAGTCGAAGAGGACCACATCGCCAACRGTCAGCTGCGGCCGGACCAGCCMGGGGTAAAAGGCGGCGTTCCCGCTGGCTCCGTGGCGGTCGGCGCAAAAGGCCAGGTCGTGGCTCCCGTGCACAAAKGCCGTCCCACCTACGGCCTCGTCGAAGGCCGTGCACGGGGCGAACAAGTTGATGTAGTGGGCCGGGAGGGTGTCGGGGAGGTGCTCGAAGAGGTGCGGAGTATCGGCGTGGAGCGCCTGCTCCGCCGAGCCCGGTAGGGAAATTATCCCGCCGACCTGGGATACGTGCAGGTCGCGGTAGCTCCCGTCGTTGCCGCTCCCGCCAAAGTTCCATCTCCCGATGTTTCCCAGGTACAGCGGGTTTTTGCGCCCCCCGTTTCCGTCCTCCCTTGGATTCATGGTCCGGCGGACGATTTCCATCAGGCTCGGATGGCCCCTCAGAAACAGGCCGTCGCCGATGCGGTCTTCCGAGGCCTTCAGAACGACGGGTTTTCCCCCGACCACGGCACTTCCCTCCTTTTTCGCCCGCAACCGGGACAGGGCCGGTCCCTGCCGCAGGTCCAATCGAAGGTCCTCGCGCATCGACAACTCGCGGTAGGATTGTGGCTCRCTCTCGGAGGACTGTGGGTTGTAGATGTCGACGCCGTCGCGCTCAAGAAGGATTTCGGACGCCGCGTGGAAGGACTCCAGGACGGCCGAACCCCACTCGAGACACTCGTTTGTGTCAAGCAATCCCTTGAGGATGCAATATCCGTTGCGATTCATGCTTTGGACGGCTTTCGAGATGGAGTGTTCCGTCAGCAGCCCCTGCGACCGYGAAGGASAATGCGGCGTGGAATCGCTCTTTGCCATTTCGTGCGACGACAACGGAACGGTAGCGAGCTCCAAGCGTTCTTCTTCCTCCGAAACGGAATGCGACGAGGCCAGCCAAGGACACGTCGAGGAATGGACGTGGACGACTCGTTTTCGCCGTGCGATAAAGCGGATTTCGCCACCAGCGTGCAAGACGGTGGCATCGGGGGTTARCAGTTTTTCTCGTACACTCCCTTTTCTAAACAGCAACGATCCTGGATCCCCATCTCCGCTAGTGGGGCTCGTATCACAAGGGACGTTCGACGAAAAAATCAGCACGCCACCCGGGCACAAGCTAGATTGCACCAAATCGAGTTTCCATGCAGCAGYGCCATCGGAGGTTTCTTCGACGTTGTTCTCGATGCAGTTGGCACCTCCCAAAAGAATCACTGCGTCCGCAATTGTCGATCCAGAGTTGTGTCGTTGTCCTTGTGCATCRACGGTTTGCTGCACGACCTTAATCCCTCGCTGTGATAGATTGTTGGATATGGAACACTTGTCRTTGTCACCAGCTGGTGCTTCTTGACCAACACGAACCACCAACACTGTCCGATCCGAGAGCCGGACCTGYGGGTTGTCTTTCACAAAACTTTGTGATAGATACATGGAAATTGAAGATGCAGCCCTGTTTTCCTCCGCCGTGGTCRATGGCAAACGCCCTTCCAACGCATCGYTGTCGCTGCCATCGTTGCTGTTTCCGACATCGTCGTCATCGCTRTCACTCCCAAAGGCGTCCCAGCAATCGTCGTCATCCGCCATCGTAGAGACTCGACTTTTTCGTTTCGCAGCAAATGTGAGTGATGATATCGCTTGGAGGCTGTATCGTATGATTATTACGTCGGGGCTTGCTCCTCTAATCTATCAAAAATTTGGTGTGGAAGATCGGATTTTGGATGGTTCTGTCAAACATCTGTACGATTACGACTGCGATACAAATCGTACCAAAACGCGCGGTACGCGCAATTTTGATTTAGGGGATATCTTTCTTGGGTACAATTCACCATCTACTCGTGAATGTGTACTGTCTCGTGAACGTGTACTGTCTCACAGTCAGTAACCTCCTTTGCTTTCTTGATTCGTTTTCTTTCGACTTCCGTTTCATACGGCATGTTTAGTCATTCARAATTCTTTTTCTGGTTTTTCTTCTGCGCGACCACATGATTAAGTTATTCGATAAAGCATCACTTATTACCCATCTACAGGGTGACGCATTGTGTTTTTCCTTCACTTAATATAACTATACAAGACAACACACCGCCACTTAAGAGTATTTATGTGCAAAATAGAACGATGACGGGAAATAGTATTCGTTGAACTTTCATTCTGTTTGAACCGTCTGTTGCTTTAAACGAATGAGACCTCCGACATCAATCATCCCATCGGTGATGCAATAGTATTGTTATTATTTTTTGTTTCTTTTCGCTGATTGAATTGACTGCAGTGAACGATTCTTGCTTACATAATTCTACATCAATWACTCAACCCATCAACCACTGATATTAAATACGCGAGTGTAGGATTCTCAATCGCATTCGCGGTAAAGGACCAATTGCATTCAATAACACCAATCTACACAATTGGATTCATCGGTACTGAATCGTTTGTATTGACCATCAATCAGAACATAASATCATACAAGCAGACAGAAGTATTGGTTTACATCTGCAAGACAAATCGATTCGAAAGCGGATRCAGATGGTAGACAAGTAGTTTGCTCTTGGGTACTCATTGCGCCGCAGATCGTTGGCTTGAAAGGACCGCGATGATGGAACACCCTGCAGTCAAGAACGGCCATCGCTTAACTCCGATTCTGATCGTTGCAATARSTACGGGCATTTTTCTAGCAGCGGCAATGGCCTGTGAATGCGATGCATTTGTCCCCGTGTCGGTTTTTAGAACCACAGTAGTCGAAAATGAMAGCARCTCGGCCCGTCGCGTGGGCAGAAATATTGCCGATGTGCGCACCGCAACACCAAAGACGGAAACTCGAGAACGGAACGAGAAAAAGAGTGATRSAGGTCGTGGCGTGGAGCCAGCTAACGATGATAGAATCAAAAACRAACAAAATCGAAACGATCTCGATCCAATAGAAAAGTGGTGCCTTCACAAGCTTGAGTATTGGTACGAGCGCTCGCAGAAACAGGTCCGCTGCCCCTTTTTCCGGCGGCGGTACGGAGACGTTCTCGACAAGGTCGAGGACTTTGTGCGATTTTTTCTGGTGCGGCCCTACTTTCKAGATTCGTCCCACCGGACCGAGGTTGGCCCCCGCATGGCCTACCGATCCTCCTCGTCGAGCGGGGACCGCAAAACGAGAAAYCTTCCGRTAGGGGAGCTCCTGGMAATCCTCCGGGGAGACTGGGGTGCGGACAGGAGCCGCCGTAGAACCGTTATGGCCACCGATTGCGCCGACGAGAAAGGATACTATGTGACGGGCCGGCTCTCCCAGCGGATTTATCGGGACGACTGCCAGTTTCTCAGCCCCGACCCGGACTTGCCMCTCCGGGGTGTCCGCAAGTACGTCGGCGTTGCGTCGCAGATCTTTCACTCGAAATCGAGTTTTTCGAAGCTGATCTCGCTRGAGCAAGTCCCAGCTTCGGAACTGGTATTGGCGAACGACGACAATGATTYCCAGAGAATCATCCCCCAAGGSATGGTTCTGAAAGCAACGTGGAAACTTTCGGCCACGATCAATCTCCCGTGGAAACCGCAGCTTTCTGAATTTACGGGATCCACCCTCTATTTTCTGGACCACGACCACCTGATATTCCGCCACCAGGAGACCTGGGACATAACGGTGTGGGACGCCTTTCTCGCKATGGTGAACATGAGGAATAGGTTGGAACCCCCCCGCAAGGAGGGCAGTGGGACCAAAGCGAAATGCCCACTTGCCATGTTTGCTCGAGCAAGCCATCCCCTCCGTCACCAAGAACAATTCCCGCCGTCGCTATCAACAAATAGTACCCTAAACTGCGGCAACTAAGCAAGAAACAAATGATGTGAAATCGAACCGAACCGAACCGAACCGAACCGAACCGAATCGAACCGAATCGAATCGAATCGAATCGAATCGAATTCGCAAATCTAGAAAATGAACATACATTACAACCTATCCATGCTTTGTCCGAAAAGGTGATTCCTCGAGAGCATTACCTTTTCGCATTGCTTCACACCAACACCGTACACCAGACTGTACACAAACTTTGGGAGAATTCTTTTCGAACAGGATGGAAACAAAAGAATCCCCTGGCCACAAYGGTGCACTTTTTTGCTTGCATTGTGACACTCTCTGTACATAACAAACGAGGCATTCRCTCCAGCGCTTCTAGTTACACTGCTCGGTCCGTATACAACCACAAAATAATGTASATACCACACCATCAGGACCAACGGAAGAAGCCAGCAAACAAACGAACAACAAATCAGAACCGACAGGAACTCTAACGCTGTGCATTTAAAACATATTGTGCCACGCCACGCCACGCCACCAGAACGGAACGGAACGGAACGGACACCTGTACATACCACGCATCGGGGTTGACCCAAAAGCGCGTCCTTCTTCGTGTTCCATCCACTCTGGCYGCCACCAAAATGAAACAAAATAATCACTTTCCACAGGAAGGAATCACTAAGCTCAGCGGCTTGCGATCGATGCCTCACCTACTGTTCGATCCTTGTACAAATCAATCGAGATCTCCAGCCCCAACCTAAGGTTCCTACTAATGTAGGATCGAGAGGAGCAACCAATACATAAATAACAATGAATAAATTCTACACTACGTGCAACATACATAATAGAACGATCTCTAACCAGACTTTGTATCTGCTAGTTTGTTTGCCAGGCTTCGCTGGCGTGTTCTTAAAATTGATAACATGAGTTCCGGAAGTTCCTAAAMGAAAAGCACTACCACAGATGCACGAATGCCGTGCTTGGAATGCCCCRGCGTSCCGTGCATCGTCGCTCCACCCGCTCGGGTGGCTAGGCTTCTTSGCCCGGCGGCTCCGCAAAGTCGTCGGGCGAGTGCCGCTCCCTGACCGCGTCTTCCCCGAATCCGTTCACCCGCAGGCCCCTCCGGACGGCGGGCCTCTCCGCGAGGGTCGCCATCCACCGCTCGACGTTGGCGTAGGTTTCGAGCTGCAAAAACTCCGTCCCCTTGTACCCRGTGTGGAGGCATCGGATCCAGGGGTAGATGGCCATGTCCGCGATCGTGTACTCGCTCCCGCAGACGTAGTCCTTCTGTTCGAGCTGCTTGTCCAGGACGTCCACGATCCGCTTRGCCTCCATGGCGAAGCGRTCGATCGCGTACTCGATCTTGAGGGGGGCGTACTTGTAAAAGTGCCCGAAGCCCCCCCCGAGGTAGGGCGCGGTTCCCATCTGCCAAAAGAGCCAGTTGAGGCACTCCGTCCTGGCGCGGGGGTCGGTGGGGAGGAACTTCTTTTCGCGCTCCGCCAGGTACAGCAGGATGGATCCCGATTCAAAGAGGCGGAGGGGTTCCTTCTCGCTTTCGGYGCTGCTTTCGCAGGGGGGGGCGTAGTCCAGCAGGGCGGGGATCTTCGAGTTCGGRTTGATGTCCACAAAGGCCGATCCGAACTGCTCGAGCTGCATAATGTTGATCGTGTAGGCGTCGTAGTCCACGCCGAGTTCCTCCAGCAGGATGGTGACCTTCTGCCCGTTGGGCGTTCCGAGCGAGTAGAGCTGYAGGTCGTGCTCGCCCCTGGGGAGCTCCGAGTCGAAGCGCTTTCCGGCGGTGGGCCGGTTCATCCCGCCCATTACTCCGTCCATCAACTTTGGCTCCCAAACGGTGGGGACGGTGTAGCCCTCGGGGTAGGCGACCGGTTTCTCGTCGTCGTTGCTGGACATGGTGGTGGGTTTGGTTTTGSTTTTGGTTTTTGTTGCGGTCGGAGAAGGAATGCGTGTTTTCAAATTTTCTCGAGACAGAATTGTGAAAGACCKCCGCGATCTTTTTTAAGTACAGTAGGACAGTCTTTTCAGCCCCTCACTCAACGCGAGATGATATTTCGTCAGGGCCACGACTGCACTGCCGATCACCGAGATATCACCGAGAACCGAGACGCCGTATGGTACAGTTMGTACATACATAGAATACATAAGAAGATACTAGAACATGTTACTATACTATAATACAGTATCAACGTACTCTTCACATCTATGGACTTCAACCGAGCCACCAATTTTGTGGACTGCTCCCGAGATGGCTCGCGKTTCCTGCCTGCCCGCGTCCAAAGATTTTGCCGAGAAAAATTGCCGTGGGTCTTTTTCGAAAACATCTAGAAGCAAATTTGGACACTCGCATTCCAATTCGCATCCAAAACCCAATCCGCAGAAAGAACCACACCAACCACCAACGCCACCATGATCCTGCTGTCCTTTCTTCTCGACCGCTACCTCTTCCCGAACCACCGCCGAATGGACCGGACGGACCACGCCCTCCGGTTTACCATCTGGGCCGGCCTGGCCGTCTTGTTCCTGACGCTCCCCGACCTCTACGGCGTCGTGGCCGCCGGCGACGAAGAGGCGTCGTCGTCGTCGTCGTCGTCGTCGTCTTCCGGGCTCCCGGGCCCCGACTTTTTCGACGCCTGCAGCAAGGGCGAGACCGACCTCGTCGCGGAGGCCATGCAGAGCCACCCCGAGTGGGCCAACGCCCGGACCCCCAACGGGGAGACCTGCCTCCACCTCGCCGGGATCTACGGGGCGTCGTCCGTCACGGCCCTGGTCCTGGAGCACGGGGGCGACCCGAACGTCCGGTCGACCTACGAGAAGGGCCTGCGGATGCACCCGCTCAGCTGGAACGTCTACGGGGGGCACCTGAAAAACATCGAGCTGCTSCTGGGGGCCGGGGCGGACGTCAACCTCGACTTTGATTCCATGGTGGGGGACGGGGATCCCGTCACGCCGATGGACGTCCTGCTGGAGCTGGTCAAGAACGAAAAGGGGGACGACCGGTTTTCCGCCATCGAGGCGGTCTTTCGGAAGCACGGGGCCAAGACCATGGAGGAGCTCAGAGCGTCCGCGTCGGCGTCGTCGAACGAGCTGTAGCGGTTCGACAGGGAGCTTCCTGCCGTCGAATGGCATGGCGCCRCRGCCGTTGCCTTGGTGGACYCGATGCAAGACCAAYCAATGCCCCTCCCGGAGGGTTTCCGAGCCGTTTGTGCTACGAGAACGGAACGAKACTGTACATTAGGAATGTTATAGCTAAAACATTATTGAATCAAACTGCAACGAGCGAAAGCCGTGGAATGTACCGCCAGCCCGAGTCGTCGCATTCGAGATGCCAAGCATTCCTTTTCTGCATCC